CGTTCTTCGCAAAAGCACAGCGAGGCGAGTTTACGGAACTGTTTCTGGAACTAAAATTCGTTCTCCTGATAACGACGGAAGATTAGGGGCCGACGTTTCTCGACGAATCGCGTGCAGATAAGCGAAATCTTATACGCTGTGCACGCGTCACGGCAATTTCGCAAATGAATCGCGACACAGAGAGGTCGATTTTCTCTCGCCATTTTTTTTAGCTCAGAAACGCTCTCATCCGCGGGCGGTTGGCGACAGATTGGATCAATGAGCGCGGCGTCGTGTAACTCTCTCGAGTGTGGCCTCTCTCTCTCTCTCTCTCTCTCTCTCTTTCTCTCCGTTGCACTGACTTTTCAGACTATTTTTAGCGCAGGAGTATTCTCGTGTGATACTATTTAGCGGCAACGGCAGATAGCGGCGCGTCTCTATATACCGATGCTGTAACAGCGTCGGATTATTACCCGGCTTTGTGTGTTCTCGACGTCGTTACTGTTTTTTTTTTTGCTTTTCTCTACTTACATAAGCGCGACGTTAAACGAACGCACTCGGGACAATGACTCCATTATACGATTGCGCGCTCTGCAAAGAGAATTTATTAATCGCCCGCGGAAACGATTTTTTGTTTCACCGCGCAAGTCATGCGTGTTTTAGACCTTTCATTTTTGACCGTGTATAACCGCAAAGCTTGCACGTTAAACTTTTCTGTCGAATTATCATCGACCAAGATTAATGTTGCAATAACCGGACGTTTATTTAAAGTAATTATTAGATATAAAAATATTAATCACAACATTTCTCAATGTTTCAAGTATTTTTTGAAATATAATATATTTTTACTTAATTTCCAACTTGACGCGTTTAAAATACCAGGTCGTAATTATTTCTTCAACAAATGTCAGATCAGGTGACGTTTGTCCGATCGTCGAGATGTTTACCTTATTAAATTAAATCGTCATTTTTTTTTTTTATTTTTTATATCGCGCGATATTAAAATTGTTATTTGCATATTTTTGCGCACGACACAATTCCAGCGAAAATCAATCGTCGCAAACGAGCGTGCGAGAGAACCGGAAAATTTATGTGATAAAAGTTTCGTTCGCAGCAAGTTTGTTCGCTGAAAATAAACGAATCCCGGGGTATCCAGTGATCAATTAACGGAAACGCGCGCGATAAAAATGCCAGAGAAAACAAGTTGCTAATTGAAATGATTGTTTGCCGAGAGAACAATATGCACGCGATATATTACGCGTTTATTTAACAACAAAATATCATCGTTGGCGCGTGCGGAAATATATATATATATATATATATATGTGTGTATGCACACACACACTGCGGCGATTCAAAACGTGTGAATAATTTCCCCGCATTAGTATAGGGAAGTTCCGGCCTGCGAGCGGACAAATAAGCGCGGAGAAGCGACGATTGTTTCGCCGGAGCGGCCTCGCCGAAGCGAGTGCGTAAGTGACGTGGGAAACAATCGATTATCGGAACCATCCGTCGCATCGCGCGACAAATGCGTGCAGAACCGATCTCCCGTGGGGGGTGTTCCGGTACCGCCATTATCGCTTGTAATCCTAACGAGGCATTCGACGCGCGCGCAGTTTCTAAAACCGTTTAACCCGTTTCTGTGTTCCTACGAATGAATCGCCGCGAGCGGCAATAATATCGACGTGCACGAGGCCTCTATTATCTTCATCTCTCGTTTACGCACACACGTTTATATTGCCGCCGCTGTGAGCGAAGGTGCCGTATGTGTCGACGCGTATCTTACGACCGTCGTTCGATTTCCTGACGGAGAAACAGGAAAAATCTCCTTGCGCGTGTTCGAACTACGTTATCGTCGACTTCGCTCGGTTTTTACTTCGCACGTGAAAAATCACGTAACTTATTTGAGATGGCATAATAAAATTATCATATCTGATATATCTCTGGAACCTTTAGATCTTTTTTTGTCTAACATCGTTCGAAAAACTCGATCTTTAAAATAAATTTATTTTTGTTTTAAAATAAAACTAAATTGTAATATTTATTTATACATTAAAAGTAAATTGTGTAAAGTTATTTTTGCGGTAAATAAACAACAGGATATATTAATATGCATACATATGGAAAGAAGATGTCGAAATGTTGCAAAAGATCTTAAGATCGAATACAATGCGTCGAACTCACACGGTTTACTTTTCCAAAAAGACCACGATTCAGGATCGGGGATTAATTAACATACACATATGTTTCGGTTTCCGGTCTTTTTATATTCGAAGAGAGAGAAACGTCTCGCGTGTTATTCCTCTATAAAAGAAATCTTCGAACCGCGCGGAAGTACGGGTTGTAAACGAATTGGCGCGCAGTTTGCCCCAACGCTCTTCGATAAAAATAAATATTAGATTTTACAGTTTATCCGAATGGGATCCGTACATGTGTCTCTCTTTTATTCCGCGCGTTCCCGTTTTTCCCGCCACGGGTTTCTCGCGTTTTGACTCGCGTTATACAAAAAAAGCCACAATAAAACGGCAAGTGTCCGGAATCACGCTCCATATACGCGTGCCGAAGAGAAAAACGGGAAAGCGTCTTTGACGTATCTAGGGCTTAGCGATCTCGCCGTCAAACTTTTCAGACAAGCGTAAGAGCGAAGCTGAAAGAGAGACCGAGCGACAGACAGACAGTCAGTGCACACGTACGTTGTGTTTTGAACAATAGACCAGTACTGACACGGCTGACGAAGTCGCAGTAAGATTGTGTGCAAGGCGCATTGAATAACTGAACCCAGGTTAAATTACCACGGAATTTCGGTGCACAAGGTTGCGGTATTAATAGCAATTAGCGGGCATTACTCTCGAATGGGATATTACTTAATCCCGTCGGCTTGTGCGATAGGTTAAACCCGCTCGGTCGAAATTATCGACAAAATGTAAACAGCGAGGCTGTATTAATAATCTCTGGATTTCTCTGTGTGACTCAGCCCGAAAATTAATGGTGCGAGTAAAACAATCGTTTCGACTCTTTTGCTTTTTCCGGTTGCATTGTAACCGAAAACCATTTCGCTGCGCACGGGTAAAAACGAAACAAAAAAAAATAAATCGGAGTTATTTTCAATGCCCTCGGCAAATATTACAAGGAAAAAAAAAACAAATCGCCGTCGAAATTCCAATTCTGTAAATTCTCTTGAAATAAATTTCTTTCTAATTAGTTATCGGTCTTATATTTTTGTAATTTTTTTTCTACTTTTTTCTAATTTCTACCGTTGCTTTTAATTCGTTTCTATCAATTTCGACTGCTTTACAAGAGTCTCTTTATAAAAAAAAGAAACGAAATCCAGAACGGTATTGTAGTAAGAAATATGTATAAACGAAGGGGGGTTAGAAGCCGCAGCCCCGACAAGAGCATTCGCGTCGGCTCTGTGTGCGCGGAGAAGAATGAAAGTGTGAGAGATGACAACACACAACCCCCCCAACTTGCTAGCGACTACAATGGCAATCGGGGCAAGGACGATTACCACCGATGTATCTCTCCCTTCTCTCTCGTATCGCTGTACTTCTCGTGCCTCTTCCACATCCACCCTTCGGCGAGAATTCTGGCCACGCCGCTATCCTACCTTCTCATCTCTCTGCTCGCCGCTGGCCACTTTTCAAACTTAACCGGTTTCGCATTTCTTGCTATTTTATTTGGACGACGCGCGGAGCTTCGCGATTATCTTCGCGTGCGAGTACCTAAGAAAACCGATAGAAACGTCGACGCGCACTGGATTTCTTTTAAAGAAATTATTTCGCCCGAATTCTTCTTCACGAAGCTTCCGCGGTCGATATTTCCGATTCAAAATTAAAGATAAGTTAAATTTTTTCGATGTATTTTTTTATTATACATTTTTTATTTCTTCTATCGTATTGATAAATCACGTAATAAGAGACAATAAATCCGACATTTCTTGGCGGTGCAATAAAAGTCCCGATAAATCCTAGATTTCTCCACGTGCACGTGAACGCAACGGTATATATTTGAAGTCAGAGTGGTTTTGTTATCCTCTCCGCTTTCTCTCTCTCTATAATAATAAAATGACGCTCTGGAATATCGGATTTCGGCGCGGCGTGTTCGATGAAAGCTTTTTGGCAAGTAACGCGTACGTTCGGCTGAATGAAATATTCAGGATCGCGCGGAGTTCGTGGGACGAGCACGAGAATTGTCGGTTTTCCGCCGGTTGAACGGGAAGAGAGGAAGGGGATGGGCAACCAACCACACCGGGCTTGAAAGCGCGGCGAGTAAATCAATCCCCGAAAAACGTGGGATAAGTTCGTGAATTATGTACAGTGCGCAAATTTAAATCTGACTTTTAGCACAAGTGCACGAGAAGAGGAGAAAAGGAGAGAGAGAGAGAAAGAAGAAAATACACACACACACACAGAGAGAGAAAAAGGCAGGGGTGGGGTTTTGTGACACAAACGTTTACGAGCGCGAGTAATCGGAAACGTTGATTCTCGCCCGCAATTTGGTCCGCCGATATTCTCTGGTTTTAACGAGTCGATAGACATTCGCGAGCGCTGACGTTAACAAAATAATTGCACCAAATATATATATATATATACATATATATATATATATATATATAAAAGATATCGATCTCGATGTGACACAACGATAAGCGTTAAATATAATCTCGATGATCCCGCGCGCTGGTTTATCGCGCTTCCGGGGATTGTATTTGAGGAAGATTATTCACGCGCGATTGTGTTAAAAGGCATCGCGCGCGCATCAATAAATAATCGCGTGTAGATTAGATGTGTCGATGTATTTATCGCCGCTTTATAACATTTAAACAGCGATTGTCGTTCGAAATTCGTTTGATCGACGTGCGCGAGAGGGAGAGAATTTTCGAAAATACAATATTGTTTTTATTGATTTTTTTTTTTTAAGTCGCATACTTGCTTGTGCTCGGGGCGTAATCGAAGACGCTGATAGCACGTGTGCGCCTTAAGAAACTAGGATGGAATACATAGAGCTGACAAATTACTCACTCTCATCGGTCTGCGGCGCGGAGAGAATGGCGCTGTGTTTTTTCTTCACATCTTCTACATTTGTCTGGATCCTATCTATCATTTCGCGGATTTCTTCTACCTGTAAAAAAAACACACACACATATACGTCAAAGAGCGTTAGTGAGCGATTTGAACTCTGATGCCTGCAACGAAACGCTTCGTCACGGCATTTGACGCATGTTTCGAAAAACCATTTTAAACAAGTTGTGTCGAACAGATATTCGAGTGGGATTTGATATCGAATGCGCTTTTGAAAGAAAAAAAAAGCAAAACACGCGTTCTTGTTAAAAAAAAAAAAAAAATAATAATGGAAAAGAAGCGTTCGATTAGATTACTACTGAAAGTAGCTTAAGTAGTCGAGGTCAGTACACGTTATACCGGGGGCGTTCTACTCTGCTTAAGTAGTATAACCGTAATTGTGGTCGTAACAAGAGGCGCTCTCCGCAAGTGGTCTACGCTCGCGTTTGATCAGACGATCGCGCGCACGTACTTATTCCGCAAATTCAGAAATTATTTTGAGAAATACATTATCAAAGTACGTAAAACTTCGTCATTTATTTTATACACTACGCGATATTCGATTAAATCAGATTTGTTTTAACAAATTTTTATGCGGGTCTTTTTAACATCAAAAAATATCTGAAATAGAATAAAAGTGTGATGTTGATAATACGTGCGTGTTTAACACAAAAAACAAAGTTGTAATATTTCAAAATATTTCTGGCAATATTCGAATTATTAATATTTAATATTACTACTTCACTTTTTGAATACATTACTGGTAATAAATTTTAATTAGTAATATTTTAAAGTACTATTGATGATAATAAAAAAAATTCCACAAATTAACTATCTTAATATAATTTTTATTGATATAAAATTTTTTTTATATTAATTATATTAATTTGCACTATATTTAACATATTATACGAACGCGTCACATCTAAAGCGGGTAAACAATTTGAAAATTATTTTTTTACTTTTTTATTTCTTTTTAAAAAGGTGCCCTTGGAAGAAGGTCTCAGTCGCGGTAAATTCTGAAAGCTCTTAATCCACTATCTTGCGCGCGATCTAATTAACGGGAGGAAAAAGAATGGCAGGTAATATCCGGTCAACAAGATAGACGAAAGGTCGAGCGTTGATAGTAGTACGCGCGTATATAGCGCGTCATAAAACCAGTCCGAAATCCCATCGATTGGACCCCGCTGGTGGAAGATGCGTAATCCCTCGTCCTTTTCGTCTCCCATGTCGACCATTTCGACTCGACGGCGATTCCGTCTGACTCATCGGTCGTTCCATCGCGAGACGCACGAAATGACGCCGAAACACTGAGTCGGCGGCGTCGTCGTCATCGACAACAACGGCGATCTTCTCGGAAAAGAATTTCGCTGAGGAAAACGCGAGAAACGAGGTTGGCAGCTGAACTATCTCGAAGGTCTCTCTAAACGTCTCTCGGTACGTAAATGTTAATTACCACACTCAAGCTTGGTCTAATTCCTTTAACAGCGAACGCGCGTGTTGACGAGAAATTTTTTCAGTGAAGCAATTTCAACAATTTTAATTTAATCATTAAAAAAAGTACAAAAGGTCAATAAGCCAGTGTGCATAGCCGAAGTTATTCGTAATAAATAAATTCATTAATTATTTAAAAATACTGTCTCCAAACGTTTCGACCTTGGTCATTTTCAATCGAAAAATACTTACAAAAAAAACCTATAGTCAACAATTTATAAATTAATGATCAGAAATTAAAGTATTTTAAAAATATATAGTCCGACATAAAAGCGGTCGATGTTTCACTCACATATTGTGACTCCAAGTAATTAATTTAATCCTTGACAGAGTTAGTCAATAATTCTATAACTACGTCAGTTTAACAAATGCATTATATTATCAATTTTTTAATAGTTTTATTGCACATATAATAATTAACATAATTAAAGTTTAAAAAAGATATATAAAATATATTTATAAAATATAAAATTTTTAGCATCACCTTTAAAAAAAACCTGTACAATGAAGATGAATAAAAAGTATTTTTCCGCAACAATGTGATAAAAAGAGCGGGAAAAAAACGTGATGGAACAGCTAGTCGTACGAAAAAGCCATTTCGACTCTCGTCAAAGACTAAACGGTAACGATAACGAGACGCGTGATTGATGCCGAGAAGAAGCGCGATCCTTCGAGAGAGAGGAGCGCTCCTTTGCCGCAATGTATATCCTCTTATCGACAGACAGAGGTAGTATCCATGTCGCTCCACACATACACACGCGCACACACACACACACACACATACACACAGGGAGAGGAACGAGTCATTAGCGCCACCACCTAGTATCATCATTTGCGACGCATTCCTCCTTGAACGTATATCCGTTTTCATCTCGCTCGCATAGGCCCGTCCCGCGCGTATATTACGCTCTTCCCTCTTCGCGGTTGCATAGTGCATAGACTGCATTGTGTTTATATAACGTGGCTGCACGGCACTCGTTGTCGTGGCACGGATAGTTTAATGGCTGCTACGGCGACACATTTCGGTATGTCTGAAACGCGCGGCGATATGTGAACCCGGAGCGCACGTGTGAATATCGATTTCGCGTTAACCTTATAGCACTTTTTGTTCGCTCGTTAGAGTAACGAGATTTCTCTTCTCGGTCAACCGAGACCGGAATCTTTACGATCGTTCGAAAGTTAGAAAAATTTTATAAATTGACAGATTGCACAAGTTTTCATCAGTAAATTGAGGTTCAATGTAGACGCTAAATTTCGACTCGGGTAGTCAACGAGAGAAACAATAAGATCGTTAAAAGTCGACGAGCGCGTTTTTCTTTTTTGTTTGAAATTCGTCTAGGAAAATAAAGAAATTTCTTTTTATCAGATTTTCGAATTAAATTCAATTTGAAATTTTATGTGTATTAATTTTTACACGGTATAAAAACTATTTTCGCGCCCTGGTTCTTATTGATTCTCTTGATTAAAAGAAAAAAACGATGAAAAGTTGATTCAATCTTTTTTTCGTATTTCGGCGCGTTGTTGCAAATACTATTTGGCTACTGTTTGTTTTCTCAATGTGAGTCGTGTGTTGCTGTATCAGATTAAATAACATTAGTGTTTACGAAGTTAATATACATTGTAATCGGTGGTGCTGATATGCATATGTGTGACACACTCGCGTATACCTATTTCATAGAATATCATTTTATTGGATAACTTTGTTGTGCGCGGAACATAATACACTTGCGCGATATTATATTAACACCGTTGCCGCACACGCTCTGGATCATCTCTTCAGGCAACATATATTTGATATTTTTTGTCGATTCTTGCGTAGCGAAATATTCCATTGCGCGAAAGGTGGACCGAAAATAAAGTTCGCTAAAAATAAATTCGGAAATAAACGCGCATTGAATAAAAACACGCGCATTTTTGTCTCGAATCATAAGCGGATTAAAAATATCAAACGCTTTAACGATTTGAAAACTATAAATAAACTATAAATATCGATCAAGTTGAGCGACTGTGAACGCGCTGAATGTGTACGGATAAAATAAACAAGAAAATTATGATATTTCACGCGAATATGCAGTTTTTTATCTCATAGTTTAAATTTAGTATTTTCCATTTTATTTCTTAAACGATGACATAACAAAAAAAAGTATTTATCTTCCGTGTTCTTTCCTCTCACCTCAAACAAGATTCCGGAAATTTCTCTCGTCGTCGGTGCTTATTCGCACCGTGTCGCTGCAAATGTCGCGAGAAGTTTGTCGAAACGAAATGAAATAATAAGCTCGTACACAATTACACGTGCAAAGGAATTTCGTCGGGAGTGAAGTACACTTTAGGTACTTTAGCACGTTTTACCGTTTCTTTAGCGAATGAGCGGCCACCGTAAAGAGAGTTTTAGTCAATTTCGCCACAAGGGGAGAAAACGCGAGAATCTCAATTTGTGACGGGTTGCGCGCGCGAAAATTTTAACGCGATAACGTTGCTCCATGCGACACGTTTGAAGTGTATGTGAAAAAAAAAAACATCTGTACGCAAGTTACAGTTAAGTGCGTTTCTCGAAAGTGCACGGCACGTTTCAGGCTTGAGAATGACGTTAACCTTAATCCAGAACCGTTTTTTTGAGAGGATTTTAAAAGCGAACCGGGTCTGACTCATCTTATTCGATTTTCGAAATACGAAAAAAATTTCGCAAAACTTCTCTCAAACGTCTGCCAACATGTTGTCTATTTAACAAAAAAGAGAAACAACTTTTCATAATTTCCTCTTGAAACAAGGAAACGTTTTTAAAGTTCGAGAGATGCTGCGGATAATAAAACAGATCCGAGAATTCGGAATTAACAGTCTCTTCGAAATGTCAGCCAAATGAAATCGTTGCGATTCGGGATCAGCAAAACCCGCATGAGAATAGCAATATCACCGTAGGAAGAGCACCGTGTGCACGACGCTATATATATATACAACTGGAAGAATACACGATATGGAGATTTCAAAAAAAAAAAAAAAAGAAAAAAAAAGAAAACTCTTCGTTGGGAAACACGGAGAAATGAAAATGCGACGTAAAGCGAGGAGACGGGGATGTACAAAGCAAGCGAGATGGCGAAGGAACGTTGTAAAAATCAATATAACTTGGCGCGCGCAAGCTATCCGCGCGCGCTTTTACGACTATCCATTTACATAGGAACGTGTCTTTTCTCCCGCGAAAGAAATCTCTTCGACTTGTCGGAAAATATCGTTGATAGGATCAAGCGAAAATTTCCGCGTTAAAACGGTGTTTTGCTTGCGGAGATATCGCGCGGATCGTGTTTGCCGGCGAAACTGACATCGTCGAGGCAATTTTATCGTGTCGTAAAGGTTTATTAAAAACACGAATACACACACGACGTGGAGGGCGAAGGCAATTACGTTCCGATGCTCGCGCCAATTGTTTGTCACGCGTGAAATCAATATGGTTCAACCCTATTAGAGAACTCTTCCAAAAAAAAAACCTTTCTGTTCTCGCTTCAAGAGCTCAAAATTTTCAGAAGAGAAGAATCGGCTTGAAATAATCAACTTTTGACACGTGATGCTTTTGAATAAATTTTGCGTATGTTTGCGCCGAATTTTTGCAATCAAATTTCTTTTGACGAGGAGAGACCCAAAGCGAGGGTCGAAACGAGAGTTGAAATTATCGTATTTTAGTTTTTTATTAATAAATAAATTTTATTACCAAGTACTTTGCGTAAGTTTTTTTATGGCCAGTTATTTTCTGTACTTTTATTTCAGTTCATTAAACTCAGAGCCTTTTTTTAAGTCTTTCAGTTTCAAAATTTTCAGTTTTCGCGAAGTTCGAGAGGCTCGTAAATAGCACTCTAACCTACTTCTTCTTATCGTTTTTTTGCGTGAGAGAAGAAAGAGAGGTGACAGTTCTAATCTCTTTCACTCTCTCTCTCTCTCTTCTTTTTACGATAACAAATCGCTTGTGAGAGAAGCAGCGTATCAGATAAAGAAGCTTTTTTTCGTGAGAAGAAGACCATTTTGTTATCATATGCATATACGTTGTGTGTGTGTGTGTGTGTGTAAAGTGTGTATAAGCCCGGATACATAAAAGAAAATTATACGTTCGTCTCGTTCGTTCATTTTATCGTTTATTTTGCGAGAAACGTACCGATTAAAGCTGAAACGGACGCAATTTTCTCCATATTCTCGAAATATTCGCTTTTATATACCGTCAAAAATAGCGGAATGTTTGTCGAAGTGACGTAGAAAAAAACGTACAAAAGTAATATTTTTCTTTTTTCCGACAAGACTCGCGCGCGCGCGCCCCCGATAATTCTGTCCAAAAGTTTCAATTATCTTTGTGAAATATTTTATACGCGTCGCGTTCACGAGAAAACACACGGCGAAACGTGTCGATTATTTTTTTTTTTTTAATTTTACATACACAAGCGCGCATTTGTTTGCACGTCCGCCATAATTCCGCATAAGCTGATTAAGCGTGACAAACAACACGCTGACGAGCATATGCGCATCAATGCTCGTTAGAGATCTCGTTTTAGTAAATCGCACGCGACGTGCTAACGCGGATCGAAACGACGTTTTATACGCGTTCCAATCCACGCGTCAAAGAGACGTACACACATACACACACATCGCGTGTAGATAACAAACGTCTCTGAACGGACAAAAGAATCCGCGTCTTGTGTTTCTCTCGCGCGCGAGTGCATTTGCAAGTTAAAACGTCACGCTGGAAAATGTATGTACGGGAGAGTTCGTGCTCATCAGCGGTTCCCAACATCTTTCGCGCGTCCCAAGATGCGAGCGAGAAAAAACGGGGTGGAGGATAGAAAAAACTTTGTTGTTACAAAACAAACTGTTAAATATTGATCATTTTTACATTTGGGCTTTGATAAATACGTGTACGTATCAAGAACTTGGTATTGCCAGTTTGTTTTTTTGTCATTGTTTTAGAATTCTTATCAATTTAAATTAATGTTATCTCCATCCAATCGTCGAACAGATATCTCCAGGAGTACACGCGTACTATCATTTGCGGAAGCTCTTGCGTCATATAATTGTACGGGACTCGTTCCCACGCCCACTTTTTTGTATACTTTTTTAGCTCATAATAAAAAAAAAAAAAAGAAGTTTGTGCGGGATCGATAAAACGTGAGATCCTACAGAAGATTTCAGCAAGGAAGTTTCTTTAAAACCCGTGTTGTTCCGCAGGATTTGTTAAATCTCCCGTAAGAGCGTGTGCGTCGCGCTATGTATTATCCTGGTGGTGGTGGCTCGCGATCGCAGCTATATGAAAAGTAAAAGAAGAAACCCCGCATTGTTCTCGTTAAGAGCGATACTCTCTCTCTAGCTGATACTGGTTTACCCTACTTTTGGATTTGTCGGAAATCGCCCACCGACACTAGCTAGGAAATGTAACAATTGCCGCCGCGTCGTGACAAACGCGATCAGGTTTCGCGTGTGGGTCATCATCACTCACCTCCGCGAAAAACTCCGTCATGAAATCATCCTGCGCCCCGACGTTGACAGACACGTCGTCCGCCACATCGTCCTCGTCCGATTGGGCCTGTGACAAACAAAAAATTATTTTATTAGAAATAGGAAACAACGCACTGATAATTAAATTATAAGAGAAATAACAAGATCCAAGCGCTGAGTGCATGTGAGAAATAAAAACTTTATAATACAGATATTTTTGTTATATAAATAAAAAAATATCTAATAAAAAGCCTTGTATTAAAAAGATATGTACGTTTGTGTTATCTATTTTGAGACGTAAAGAATGTATGAACGTATGCGTTTATTTTTTGTCAATGATTGTATGTGTGTGCAACGTGTATATCACGCATAATAACTCATTCCGATAAAAGTGACTTTCTTTTTGCATAACACGATACGCGCTTCCATTCGAGCAATGAATAATAATCTCGCTCTCGGCCAAAAAAATATATATATATATTTCATACGTTTGCAGCGACCAACTTGTTTTTTTAACATATAACGCTCAAATTTAAGCCGGAAAATAGTACAATAACATTTCGTTACATAACCAATTTGCCGTCTTTGTGAGATTTGTAATAATTCTACGATTATATAAAAGCTCTCGAAAGCTTTTTGTACATATATATATATACGCGCGGTCTATTTTCCTCGGGAGAAAAAAAAATAGATTAATAAATTTCTTTCACCTCGCGTCACGCGAATCAATAGTTAAAAATAAGCGCGATTCGAAAATGTGTCTCGTCTCGATGTGCTTGCAAAAAAATATCCTTTCTTATCAGAGATAACGACGCGCGTGATGACGACGATGTGCTAATAAGTACGGTCGACTGAAATCGGTCGTGAGAAAAATTCTGTTTTTTTTTTTCTTCATCTCTCGACGGATGACAAATTATCGAGTCTTCTCTCGTTAATAAGTTTAATGCCGTTGTGTCATATTGTGAAAATAAAAACTCGACGGAAAGCGCTCGGAGAACATTTATGCGCGGTGGCACATTGCAGTTCGCGGAAAATTTTTTAAACAGATATTCATCAAAGTTGCGGAGAATATTACATGACAATGTGATAAAATATACACGATAATATATAGAACAGCTCGGTGAAAATATACAAGTGGGAAGAAAGAGCGATTTCTTATGCAGAAGTGAATTGTTAAAATTATAGAGTCAAAAGTTTTTCTCTCCCTTTGCGGGGAGAAAAAAGAAACGGATTTAAAGGCGTTCGCTGCGCAAAGTCAGTCCCGATCCTTAACGGACTGCATAATGCACAGTGCTCGTTTGTCCCTGTGTTATTGTATATTACATTATATCTTTTTGCCGTCAGACTCTATCGCCGACAATGTGATCTGTTTTTTTTTTTTTTTTTTTNTTTTTTTTTTTTTTGATTGGCTGATCGAGCCTCGATTTAGATACCTACCGACTCTATCCTTTCTTTTTCCTGTTTCTTTCTAGCTTGGGCTTTTATACATATTCTCATATTTAGATTAATATTTTTCCTACTGATCTTTTTTTTTTTTTTTTTTTTTTCGATCGTCCCAGTTATCGCTGGGTCCTCCTCTATGCGCGACCCGATCGATACGGTATTTGCATACAATTAAGAAACGATTATAGGCAACGCGACGCAACAAGAGGGCCAAGAACGTCGTCGTTCGTGTCGTTCTCCCGCGATCGATATCGCATTTCCACGGCTCCACGGCTGGATTTACGCGGTGAACTTCTCTCCGCAAATAAGTGAATATTCCGCGATCGCGCGGGGCGAACGATGCAACGACAGACAGTCTCGGACGAAATGTTAACGATATCCAAATAAAGTTTAACGCGACAATTTGGACGTGCGAATCTTCGCAAACAGAAATTCCGGTACATATAAAGTCTTGAAGATCTCAACGGATAGACGTACGATCTCTCTTTTCTGTTATTTGCCATATATAAAAGATAAAAGACAGAATTTACATACACATTATGTACATTTGTCCGTGTATATTTGTCATATGTACATCTGTAACATCGCAGATTGAATGTGACTCTGAAGTGTTTTTTTGATGACACTCTAAAAGTGAACCTTAGGTCAGACGTACTTATTTTAAACTTTCAAACAAACCAAGAATTCTGGCATCTTCTTTCAAACGTTTGTTAATTAATATGTTCCGGTGTTTATTTAACGAAAAAAAAAAAAAACAATTTTACATAATTTAATTTTAGTAATTTGTTCAGAATTAGAATTCGTATTTTCAAGTCTAGTTTGTTAATTGCGAAAAATATTTAATTACATATTTTTGCAACGTATAAAAATATTCTTTCGTATATTCATGTATGCGCATGTTTCTCGATAAAAAGATTCAAGGCAAATTTTATTCATACAGTTTCGAAGTATCAAAACGACTTGAGTTTGAATTTGCGCGTATTTTCATCGGGAATACGACTTTTGCTTTCTTTCACATTTTATATGTACAAACTTTAAACTGTACTCTCTAGTGTACATTTAAATTATTATCTCTATGATCTAAAATCATTTTTTTACACGGTCGACTGTTTTTCCTTTGACTCGAATCATCGTGAACAATCGGCATTCAATTATCACAGCGAATTGCACTTTTGGTATTTTCACGCGTGCCAATTAGTGTTTCGCTTTGCAGTTCACCGCATGCATAAAAAATACAAAAAAATCCGATATCAGTGTTTAAAAAAAAATAAATAAATAACTCGATATCAACCACCCGACTTTAAAAGAGACGAGTACGAGATGTCTTTTTTTTCTCGTCGTGTTCAAAATCGCGTTTGGTTGAATATATTGTTTGTGAGATACTGTAAATATTGTTAGAAAAATCTGAATCTTTCGCAAATATTGACATTGAGCTATCTCGAAATTTCTTTTTCCCCGCTATTCGACGCACACATCAGACAGACCGCGTCACGAATTAGTGCTCGTTATTTTCGCTGCAATCGGAGATTTATCGCGCACAAGATGCAAATTATATCAATATATCAAAAATTATGTCAATACATGCAAATCGTATCAATACATCAAACATCTTGACATTGAACGGCGCGAAACGGCGCTTCTTGAATGTTTCGCGAGTGTAGCGATTAAAAGTCGAAAGGTGTGAGATATCGAAACGAGTATATTAGCATGTGCGTTACCAAGGATTCAACACTCGTGAAGCGCGAAATAACCTTCGCTTCGTGTACGAGATCATCGAGAGAAAGAGAGAGAGAGAGAAAACGTACGTGCGCGTTGTCGGTCGGGTCAGAGAGGCTGAAATAAATCGCGTCTCTACGTAAGAAGAAGAACAAAACTTATCTCGATATACTCTCGGAACGTGGAAGATGTTCACGATTAGCAATGTATCAAAGTTACGCGCGATGTGCCTATTTTTTAGCGGAGATTTTAAAAATTATCGTTCACGCGACGAATATAAAACTTCGCGTGGTACGGAGATTTGTTTTTCAATATAAATTTGTGTCTCTCCCGATGTGTGACAGCGTCTAACTTAAGTGCCGACATAAACACGAGCCAAATGAAAGACGATAATACAACGATAAAGAATATGCGTTGTAACTTGCTGATGAGAGAAAAATGAATATTGCAATAGTTCGTTTTATTTCCAATCTGCAGCCAAATACACGAATATTCTCAAATCTCTTGTTTTCGTGCTAATATCTGCATTTCGGTTCTTTTCTGGCACGTATTTGCGCATGCAAATTATTTTCTTAAAAAAATGTAACATTTGCCACAAAAAAAAATATCGCGTAGACCCGCGAAAAATATTAAGCCGCGTCGTTTTGTTCGCAAAATTAAACGGAGGTGAACTAATTTGACATCGATTTTTCGCAAACGAGAGATTTCCAAGACTATATTTGGACATCAACGCACACACACACACATACATCAAAAACTATATCCAGCGACAATAATATCTCATTTTGTTTATGAGCAACGAGTTAATAATAGTTACTGACGGACAAGGAAGAGGATGTGTGTGTGTAATACATTGTACTCTGAAGTTTACGCCCATACTCTGTGCTTTCCTACAAATGCCACCGGCTAATGACTCATCGAGTGTCAATTAGCGTGATACTTGACGTGCGTGTGTGTATGTCACACATTTTTCTGTAGAAAGAGCTGGACGTTTATTAACTGAGAATCAGGAAAAAAAAACCATCGGTCAACCACCCTTTCCGTTGCTATTAATTTTGTTGCTATTAATAGCTCGTATTTATTATGCGTGTGCGGTATGTAAAACAAACACTGCAAATAAACCCGTTAGCTTAATTAAAACCTTTATCTCTTTTTTTAAGTACAACATATACGCGCTCGCGGTAAATAATTTTTGATGTGTAATAAATAAATAAAAATAGCGCAATGTAACAATGTCAACAGAAATATTTTTTACACTGAATTGTTGAAAAAGAAGATACTTAAAACAAAAGTTACGTTACAGTTCTGATACGATGAATCAACAATTTGTATTGCACAAAAACAAAAGCAATTATTATGTCGTTTAAAAAACAACTCGAGAGAAGAACTCGATAATCGAGAGAGACCGGAAACGAGCATTGTTCGTTTTACGTGAGAGAGAAAAATACTAGATCTTTTCTCGATTTCCGAATTTCACGTATTTAAGTTCTCATCAATTTTCCTCCGCTGGTCCATGTTATAACAACAACAGTTTTCTCTATATCGACATCTGCGTCTAATATATCGAATCGTATCTCATCTCTTACTCGCGAGAAGAACCGCCGCATTCTCGCGCTATTTAGCGTCGCGAACGATATTATTGACAAGTCGAGAGTCGGTGCGCCGCTACGATAAGCGGCGCTATATATTATTATTATCAATTCGAACGAATCTTGACGAATTCGAAACCGGGATATAATGTGCGCGCGACAACGTTCGACAGGTGCTGGCGGTGCACGTCGAAATTTATGCGGCGGCGACGACGACGACGACGACGACGACGACGACATCGCAGCCGCATGACGCGTGCCACGCCAACCGTTACAACACGCGATTAAATCCTTTCGTATAATGACATGACATTCGGAGCTTAACGAACGGATTCGCCGTGCGTTATTAAAATCCATTAGAATCCCCGGAACTTCGCGTTTCCTTTGTCTTCGCCGCGCTCTCATTTCAATGTGCATCATCGACAAATGTAATATTTGTTGTTCGGATGCCGAGACGGTAACAAATTTTACAAGATCACGAAAATGAAATACAATAGAAGTTATCCGAAGAATATTTCCAACAGATACGAGACAAACACAAAACTTGTGAATCGGAAGTGTAATCTCAACACGCTTAGAACGCCTGATAAAATTATCTCGACTTCTGTGAAACCTCATACTTGTGGTTTTTTTTTGATTGAGGAAAACAAATGTTTTGTGTGAGTTTAAAATATTTCTCACACAAGAGAAAGATTTTGTCCTGAACCGCGAGAAATCGAAATGGCAACTACAAGAAGATTCAAAGAAGTCGAACTGACATCATCGAACATTCAGGTTTTAACGAATGTTAATTACGTGTCACACACACACACACACGCATAGATGTCAGTGTTTTAACTTACTAAATAAGATTTTGCGTGACTTTCTGTATACTTTTCCGGATAAAAATATCCAGAAACGAATAAATATATAAATAGAAATGAATAGAAATTCAATAATATATAAATATATAAATTTGTGTGTGTGTGCATTGATCTGCGGAATCTCCCGAGAGGACAGCGCGAGTTGTACTCAAAAATATTTAAATGATTCTCGATCTGGTGTGAGATGAGGGGCATGTACGAGACAGAGTCGTGTCTGTACGTCACGTCTCGTCGCGTCGTCGCCGCTGTCATGAATGAAACGATGCAGACGTCGTTATCGCGCGTCCGCAATAATCCGGAGAGGTCACCCTTTTCACTACGGCGTGACATCGCACCGGGACACGACGACGGAGGTTCTCTATTTCTTCATTCATCGGCGTTCTCGCCTCTAATAAATGACTAAGTCGGCCATGGTCGCCATAGACCCACCGGGTGACGGTCTTTTTTCCCGGTCTCTCACAGAGACCGAGACGACACGGCACCGCCGACGACGACGACGACGACGACGGCGCGCGGGACGGCTTCTTGGCCGTGATCGCGGATGCCGCGAACACCTGTCAGCTCGGATCGAGGCGAGCGAGGGGGCACCTGTCATCCCGCCGGTTACGCCTTCCCCGACCGAGAAGAAGGCGCGAAGTTTTTTCAGCTCCGTTTTTTTCTCTCAAGTTAAAATCGCGCGACGGCCTCGACGTGACGGCCGCGAGGAGAGCAGCACAACGCGGTCAATGTATCATTCGTCGAGAGGAAGCGTAACATAATATAAGTTACGCGCGCGTAACTCACGGGCGGGTTAACTCAGGGCGTGAGTCACGCTCTCCGCCACGACACGACGACGACGACGACGACGACGACGACGACGACGACACGAGCACGTCTACAACACGGAACTCGGGTCCGTTGCACCAGGTGCATCGTGCACACATCGTGAGAGAGGGAAGACCCGTGGCTGTGACGGGAGTGTTAAATCTTTGACAGAATTTACTCACCGCGACGAGGGCTGCTAATCTATCCTTGGTCATGGTGAAGGGTGTTGCGAGGAGTTGCGAGTCAGCGGGCGGTGTACGGAATGTGTTTAGCGGGTAATCCCATTCACGATTTTATCCATGTACAACACGTACGGCCACTAAAAACCTAAAGGAAACGACGGACGCACTAGCACCGCGAGAGAGGCACGATCGTAAAATCGATACATTCACGAACTCGCCTGCTTCTGCAGTGCCGTCCCGGCGCCACGCGCACGCGCCGATGACGTCAACTTCGTCTCTCAGGAACGTGCGCCACGCAAAGCGACGCCCCCACGACTGACAACGCCGCCACGAGAAAAGAGAAGCAGGAACGTGACCAAAATTCTCAGGTTCTTGCGCAATTAATGGTCGGTACATTACAGGTCGGTAATTTGTAGTTCGATCTTGTATTCAACAAGACCGCGTCTTAAGGTGGTCACAAGATGCTGTACGAGCCGTTCCATTGGCTTCACGTTATTTTAATAAATTTCCCACACACGATAATCAATTGTCTTCAACTATTTGTTCACAGATGCTTCACATCTATTTTGATCAAATAATTTTTCTCATATACATACAAAGTGAATTATTTCTCTTTCATTTGTTTGCAGATAAAAAACATCAAGCAATCAAAAACTAACCAAATAACTAATTACTTTTTTGCTAACTTTTTTCTTTTTATTTGAATTTTTACCGCCACTAGACCAATCGCGTCCTCGCGTACTTTTTACTCGCAACTTGCCGCTCGTAGATGCATTTTGGCGCCACTTGGCAGTCTCGCGTTCGTCGATGCGAACGATTGCGAGGCATCATCCCGTCCTTGTTCTTTCCGGAACGCGGAACGAGGACAGGATGATTCCTCGAAGCGTTTGCAGCGCCGGATTGGACCGTGTTCGTTTTCTACGCGCCGACCGTAAATGGCGCGTTGATTAGCAGAGGTCGCGCTGATCGCGCGCTTCCTGTCAATCGCGCAACAAAATTGCAATCGTTTCTGAAAAATACGCTTTGCTTTCGCAAATTAATCACGCGAAAAATCAAATTTGATTTTTTCACCGCGATCCCGACCCTCTTCGCCTGCGATTCCACGCGGTTTAAGTTTGGCTGATCCGCGAGGTGGCATCTCGCCTCTTACTCACTCGTCCAGACACTTGTGACTCGCCATTGTGAGCCGTACAGACTGTGGCACGCGGTAAGTAATATCGGTCATTTTCACGTACCCGTCTGCGCCGCACCCGGGAAATTTCATATCCACGCCAATCGGCTTGTCCGTGAAACGCGGAAGGTTAACGGTAAGTGCACAGAGCGCGTGAAACCGCGTCGCCGAGTGTCGGTTCGCGATATATATAAATCGAAAACGCGAAATTTCTTCCGCACGCATCTGCCTCTCGACGGGCGCCATTCGCCCCCTCGTCGTCGCGACGAGCCCGGTGAGTCCCGTGCCCGCCAACAACGTTCCGACCGGCTTTTCCCTCCGATTTTCTCCGCCGTTTACGCGCTTCTCTTCCGTTCGATCGTCGTTTTCGCGACTCCTCGAGTTTGCGACACGCGTGGTTTTATTTCTCGATCACGCTTCGAATACGTGCCGTAACATTCGGCGGTTTTCCAGCACATTCGATACACATCGTCGTTACACGATGTCCTTGATCATTTTTTTTTTTTTTTTCCAGTCAGTTTCATTATCATCGCTAGCGGAATGTGCTTAACCTCGTGTGTTTTCGGCGTTTTCTGTTTGAAGAAGCAGTTTCCGTTCCGCGAAATGTCTTGTCTCATGTTTGTGTCCGTTACAACGCACGCTACTCCGCCCATGTGGCTTTTCGTTTTCGCGTGACACCGGGCTCGAGAGTTCATCACTGGGTTTTTTCTTTGCAGACCTACGCGTCTTCGATATCGACTAGAAGTTCGTCGCAAAAGGTTAAACAAGCAAAATGGCACAGGAACCTGATATGCCCACATTCAAATGTGTGCTGGTCGGCGACGGTGGTACTGGCAAAACCACCTTTGTCAAGCGTCACTTGACCGGCGAATTCGAAAAGAAGTACGTCGCTACTCTTGGAGTAGAAGTACATCCCCTGATTTTCCATACCAATCGTGGGCCGATTCGTTTCAATGTGTGGGATACAGCTGGTCAAGAGAAGTTTGGTGGTCTTCGTGATGGCTATTATATTCAGGGACAGTGCGCTGTAATTATGTTCGATGTCACATCTAGAGTAACATACAAGAACGTACCCAACTGGCATAGGGATCTCGTTCGAGTTTGTGAAAACATACCGATTGTTCTTTGCGGAAACAAAGTAGACATTAAAGATAGAAAAGTTAAGGCTAAGAGTATCGTATTTCACAGAAAGAAGAATTTACAGGTATTTATGCAACTATGTTTCTTTAGTTTTGTTTTCTGTCATTTTTATAGTTTTATTTGTAGCTTTTTTTTAATGATGATTCAGTGATCCGATGTAAAATGAAGATGTTAAACTGTCCCTCTAATCTGAATGTTTTTATATTTGATATATAATAAAACAAATTTTATACGCATGTAGGAATTTGAACAGCACATCGCTTTCTTTTGTTCTAGTACTACGACATCAGTGCCAAGAGTAATTACAATTTCGAAAAACCTTTTCTATGGCTAGCACGTAAATTGATCGGCGATCCAAATCTTGAATTTGTTGCGATGCCAGCTCTGCTGCCACCTGAGGTTACCATGGATCCACAATGGCAGCAACAAATTGAGAAAGATCTTAAGGAGGCTCAAGAAACAGCACTACCAGAAGACGACGAAGATCTTTAATCTTTAGTTTACTTAATATATTATGAGTAGCCTTTACAGAGGTAAGGCCTACTATGCAAGTGCTCCTTGATTGTAACACGCACTTGCGTCTATCTCCTATAAAAGTGAGGTTTAAGAATCGAGAGAATTTCTTTAGGTATGAAAAAGAGTAATGTTTGATCGCAATATTTAGTTCAATAACTTTGTATTCTGGACGTAATTTTTTGTCAGCTCTTATATTACAAATACAATAGCCTTAAAAGTGGGTCACATAAATGCATTGGAGTGCAAAATTAATAAAGTGTGTATGTTTATGTATGCAAAACAAAACCTTATCTATACCATATCTGATTTTCACAAAAAAAAATTCTTCTATGCAATAAATGTGATAACATTACGTAAAATTTATGGAATTAGAAATTTAATGTATTTAAGATACAAGATACTGAGAAAAAAAAATTTGTGATATAAAACTCATATAGAATGCAGCTTTGATGAATTTGAATGTAACATACGATGCAAAACAACAGAGATCAAATACAAATTTCTGATTCGCTTGTGTAGGTGTGCGCGTGTGCATGATATGTAAATATGTGAGAAATGCAATTGTGTAAACCATGATGTAAATTGAATACAATGGTACTTCAACCCACTTTTTAAGGTACATCGAAAGTAGAGTTCTCCGTCTTTTGGTTTTCCTTCCCTTTTTAGTCTCTTTCTCTTTCTCTCATCTTCGATGTAGAATACAAACTGCCAATTCTGAAGTGGATGATCATTCAACTTACAAATGATTGATTTACACAAAAAGAAAGAATCTCTGAGAGACGCAAAACGCAATTCGTCAATATCAGAAATCATTGTTTTCCATTTAAGTACGAATTACACAATTCGCGAAAGAGCAAACTTACCGGAAATGCTGGTAATAAAAAAAAACACTGAGAAATGTTGAAAGCAAATGTATTTTTTTTTTTTTTTTTTTTTCAAATGTTTCACACGAACAGTGCTTTTTTCTGTATATAAGAATATTCGTTTTGCTAACGAAACTCATCGATTTTTTGTTTTCGAAATCCCTCTTGTAATTTAATCAAGATTAATCCCACAAACAAAAATGGCAGATGTTAGATTTTACACCGCTGCATTTCTAACACGAAACAGGAATCACAGGAAATGATACTGCAAACATGTACATCCGATCCTTGTACTTTTAATAATATCTCGTCATCTTGCTTGAAGAAGGATTGTATCGAACTGAGAACTTTAATAAATTATCAAACTGTTTTCACAGCTACAATATTCTATTTGGTATTAATTGTCATACACATAGTAGTTTTGTTATTACGGGTGCTCACGCACTTTGCGAACGCGTCAGTCCATCTTGTACAAAAGTAGTAAAGGTAGACTGACGCCTGAAGCGCGTATGCATCCAAGACAAACGCGTCATATGTAACATGTGTATCAACTGTCTGAAAATCTAACAAGCGTACTTCAATACAGACGCGTGAAAACTGAAGATAAAAATACAAATCCAATTACAAGAGTAATAATCCGTGGTATATGATAAAAATGCATTTTTTTAAATTACGTAATTGATTTACATGTTTGTTTTTTATTATTGCATAAACTTTACGTCGAAGACACTTCGTACAAACTTTCAAATTAGGAGAATGAATGATTTGAAAGTTTCGTGTTTTCGAGACTCGACTGATAATACGGATCTTTGTTTTTGTAAATATTTTTGTACCAAATCTCTGGATGCTTTACTGTTTATGTTTTTTCTTTTCCTTCTCTTTCTCTTTCTTCATTAAGGCTTTTTTGCCTTCGAGAAGTAACGCTCGTTCGTTATCTGTAAGGGATTTCAAAGTGGTGGTGATAACGCCGGTTCCCAGAGTTATCGCTCCGTCTCGTAATGTGAAACGTTGACCTTTCTCCAACACCATTGGTCTTATCAGTTTTAATATCAATCTGCAACGAAGATCAAAATACAATAAGAGACGCAGCGCGATGAGCAATATTGTTAGATAACAAATAAATCGAATATCTTACGTGCTGTCTTCTCCTGGCATTGCCAAGTCTTTCCCTGATATTGTACACTGCGCTGCGATATCCCACGTTCTCGAAAACATTTGTAACTGCGTCAAACTTGCGAGAGGCTTCTTTTTGCCGCCTTCTTCCGGAGTCAACATGTATACCTGTGCTTCTACATGATCGTACGCTTTCATAGTGCCGGGTTTGCACATCACCATGCCTCTTCTGATGTCGTCCCTCTTCAAACCTCTCACCAGAGCACCCAACTGATCTCCGGCGTGAGCCTCTTCTAATATCTGATGGAACATCTCGATGCCCGTAATCACACTTTTGTAAACTTTGTTGTAACCGATGAATTCGCAATCCTGTCCCTTCTTCAGTTTCCCACGCTCCAATCTACCGGTAACCACGGTACCTCGTCCAGGAATAGAATATACGTTTTCCACCGGGAGCAAAAATGGTTTATCCAGCTCCCTCACGGGTGTTGGAATATGTTGATCCACCGTTTCCAACAATTTTAGAATAGCCTGTGCGCCTATTTCGGGATTCTTTCCTTCAAGTGCGCAGAGCGCGCTACCTTTTACTACTGGAATATTGTCGCCGTCGTAACCCATTTCGGTAAGCAACTCTCGTATTTCCATTTCCACTAACTCCACCATTTCTGTATCAGCGGCATCAACCTGTGACAAATATCAAGTAAAGATTGTAACATACATAGTGTACAGTTATTTACATCTTTTCACAATTCTGTCTCTTACCTTGTTGATGAATATGACAAGATGCTCAATACCAATTTGTTTAGCAAGCAGCAAGTGTTCTCTAGTTTGTGGCATTGTGCCATCTGTAGCAGCAACGACCAATATAGCACCGTCCATTTGCGCCGTTCCCGTGATCATGTTTTTAATGTAATCGGCATGACCCGGACAATCGGTGTGTCCATAATGACGATTTTCTGTTTGATATTCAATGTGTGCGACATTGATAGTAATACCACGAGCCTTTTCTTCAGGAGCATTGTCAATTTCGCTGTATTGTTTTGCTTTTGCCAATGCCTTCTCAGACAATACTATTTATAACAATATTTTACATTATTTTATCAATCCAAAATAGTTTTTCTTTTAATAAGAGATAAGAAAATTGCTCAAATACATCAAAATAAAATCTTATACTGTGTATATTGCCAGTTTACATAAAACAAAGGTATGGAATGTGACAACAAATGCATACCTTTGGTGATAGCTGCTGTAAGTGTTGTTTTGCCGTGATCTACATGACCAATAGTACCTACATTGCAATGTGGTTTGTCACGAGTAAATACTTTCTTTTCTGCATAAAATCTCTGGCTTGTGACAGTAGGAAGAAACAACTGACCCAATTGATTGCGACGTTGCTAATAATACACAGTAAAAATAATTAATTTACACCAACAAGAGAGTTTGTACTAAATGTCATAAACTAAATGATTGCATCAACATATTATAAAAATAATTATATTTAAAGATAAAGATGCAAAATAAGCTTTTAGTTTCTTAGAATTGACTTAACTCTTCCAATACGTAATCGTAGAGTGTCGATATATCTATCATAATATATTTATCATAAACATAGTACAGTTTTGATTGCACAAATCTGGAAATAGTTATAGTGAAGTGCTAATTTGAAACTCGAATACTTACACATTTTGGCAACTGTCGTGTGAGAATAATCCGTTTTAAGCTGTGTCTCAGCACTGAAAAAAGAGATATATAGATATTTATTCAATTAAAAACTCGCCGAGAATAGTGTTGACACACCTAACCTTAACGTTTTCTACACAATACGATCGCGCGTGAACATTAAAAAAAGTGATTTTAACCATGAGAAAAAACGATGACGAAGTCAACGAAAGAGCTACTCGACATCATTGACATGCACGTACTTCATATTTTGCTTACCGGAATTACAGATAACTCTCGTGGAAATAAGCGCCATGTTTCATCTGATTTCTTCGCAATTACGGAACCATTCGAATCTTCCAGCATGCGTGACACAGTGTGGCGCAACTCTGCAACTACTCTAGCTGACTCTAGCACTCCTAGCAGTCGTATTGCGTACTTTTGGAAGTGAAGACTACAGGACGCGTCTACACGTGACAAGAAACAAGGCGCAGCCATTCAAAATTTTGCTCTTATAGAAAAATAGCACATCGATTTGTTATTGCATATATATATATATATACTTTATTCTATATTTAAATATTATACCTTATATTGTATTATATGTAGTATACTACAGTAAGGTCACTGACCTCGGTCGCGTGACCGCGGCGGGGTCAACGACCTCGGTCGCGTGACCGCGGCGGGTCAATGACCTCGGTCACGTGACTGCGGCGAGGTCAATGACTTGGTCATGTAACTAAGATGACATAAGCAAGAAGTGGCACGAAGACTCGCTGAGCGTGTCAAGTGAGCGGGACTTTCATGTAATCAATTATTAATTCTTGGATGTACTCCGCCCACTCGAAACTTTGTGCCACCTCTTTGCTAGTTATGTTCTCCTAATATTTTTTCATTATTGTCTCAGTAGTTTTGAAGTTTCTTAGAATATTATAAGTATATAGAAAGTAGTAAAAAGAACACAAATAAAAATGTGTGTCCTAATTTTCTCTTTATTCGGCAAAAGAATATTTTACAATTATTTAGATACAATATAATAGTAGTGTGCACATTTTCCCGTCCCACTTTGCACAGACTGCGGACTGTCAGATGCAGTAATGTTTTTACTGTTTCTGGTGTGGTTAAAAAATGTGGCACACATATAATACTAAGTTTTTTAGATGTAACAAAAATTAATTAGTTTTTGGATCGAGAACTTGCTGAAGAAATGTTTTTTCTATTTGCGCGTTGTAGCGGTTTTTCTTTATAAACTTCCTTTTATGATAATTTTCTTCTATTACAAATTGAACAGATTTCATTTTGCCCTCAATGTGAGGGCAAAATCACTGGAAAAAAAAAACTATTACTTTTAATATACTTTTTAAGAGAAAGAGAGAGAGAGAAAGAAACTTGTGTGAACTGTAAATAGATATTTGCTTCACGTGTGCAATAAAATACTGCGATTGTTAGTGTTGTCAATATTGCACTTTTATTGAAAATACCAGTAGACATATTATTAAAAGTATTTGCGACATTATCATCAAATAAATCAGTTATGTTAAAAAAGATAAAATACATTTAAAGCGCAGCAGAAATTGAGTTTGAAAAATTGATAAAAGGAAGACCGCCAGCGTTCGCAAACATTCTTCCTCTCAAAAAACATATATATATATATATCAGATATAATAATCCATATCTGTAAATTCGATACGTATATTAACGTTTATTTTTAGGTTTTATTAATATCGTAAAATTTAGAATCGCGAGATACACATATTTTTCATTCTTAATTTGCTAGTTTTACGTAGTGGTATTGTTTTTTTTGTTTTTACTTTCGGACAGTCTGAGAGATAACAAGTTACAGCGTGTAACTTTTAACATTTGGAAATTTATAGTTCTTATAATATATACATATATATATATATATATATATATGTATGTATATATATTGTTGCTTTTGAATACAAACAATTATTCAAATATTCTACCGGTATAATAATTTTTAATTACAACGTAGTATTGAATCATAGTATTGAAAATTGGAAATATGTTCCCGTTATAACTGTAGTAGATGTTAAAGATTATTACACACATTACACACACCCTGTCTATATCTTTTGATTTAGTTTGGTTCGAATATCGTAAGTCTATACACTGCAAAAACTATCGGTATAATAAATAATAGTCGTATATCATCAATAATCAATAACGCGCATGGTTCACTAATTAACTCCAAAACAACTCACACATAGCTCACACACTATATAACCTAATATAGTTAAAACATCCATATTGTTATTTGAATACCGTTATAACTATAACAACAACAAGATAATAATATAATTAATGATGACGATATGCTAATGGTTTTGAAATTACGAACGATGATAAAAGTGATAATTACATATTATTATTAATATTATTATTATTATTGTTATTATTATTATTATTATTATTATTATTATTATTATTATACTTAATGTCACATTATGTTACTATTATTTCATCGTTTTGTATTATTGTTATATATGTCGTTTAACTAAACTTATATACCAATTTGTATCTCATACATCATTATATGATATTTTCTTCCTTGAGGAATGTGTTTGAACGTTACACAATGAAATTTAAACTTTCTATAAAAAGAAAAAACTATTCTCTTCTCGAATTGAGTATATTTTTAGAGCCATTTACAACAGCTCTTTTTGTTACTTCTGAATTATTACTCCCGATATAAAGACGTACATATATCTTATAAATATATATGTATGTATATATATAAGATATATGTAGGCATATAACAAAATTGTTCGAGTAAAATTTTATATTTATATATATATACGTGTGTGTAGTATATATAATATTTATAGTATATATAATTTATATAGTATATATAATATATATAATATTTATTACACACACGTATATACATTTAATGTATAATATATTATAACAAATGTAATATTACATAGAAAAGTACCAATAGCTAATTTATAAATGTAATACAAATGACATGTAGCCGTGATTTCGCATTTAATTTCGCTCTTCCAAGTAGAGCTCTGTGTTTTCTGTGCACATTAAGTTTTGAACAAATCGAAATTTACACATGAGCAAGTCTTTTATTAAATTTCTTCTCTTTGACTTCTTTAAATTACATATTTTATAACAGTGAATGTCCTCTACCAGTCTTTTTTCTTCTCTACCTCCCGTCTCTCTAATCGTCCTCTAATCGTTTCAATTATATTAAAAAATCCTCGTATTAACTTATTAAACCCTGTGTATTACATGACTGTATGTGATCCGTTTTCTCATCTCGTTCTTGTCATCCTTACTTTCACGTCTACTTCTTGATTCTTCTCTCTCCATATACCTGTGAGTATGTGTGTGTGTGTGTGTGAGTGTACATTTCGATTAATACAATACGCATGTCTCTAGATAACTGCCGTTTGAAATACTGAAATATAACTACTAAAACTATTATACGAGATTGATTTTTTCCCGACGTTAAATGGTTTTTAAGATGTTTTTTATACATACTTGAAAAAGTTTTGTTTCTAGAGATAGATGTGAGTTCTGGTTTGTATTTGAACTAGTTTTTGTATCAATTTTTCTCTCGTCATTCTGCATAGAAAAATATCAAAGTAATATTTAAACAAATCGACGGTAAGATTATAAGATAGTTTGCAGCGGTCATATGTTATTTCATATTTTGTTGCGATGTATATTTTAACGTAAATTATTAAATATGTGTGTGTACATTTTATTATAATTAATTTTTAATACACATTAATTTTTAATACATAAATAAAATTATTCATAGAAAAAACTATTGAGGATGAAATCTCGTCTTTCTGTAATTTCACCTGTAGAAGTAAACGAAAGTTACGTCGCTTTCTAATTGCTATAAAGACATCAAGACGAGATGATCAAGAAATGAATCGTACACGAGAGTTATTTCACACCCGATGTCAAAATATGCGTATAAAATATTCCAGACTCTTTTTTTTTTTGTGCGCACATAAAGCACCGTCTGTAGTACAGAGATACTCGAGATCATTTGGAGACGAAAATTTCAACACACATGTGTTGTTAGTTTTTTTTTTTTTTTTTTTATGTGCGTACGCATATATATACCAAAATGACGAGACTATAACAAGTTCTGAATTACAAACTGGTTTAGAAGATGTGTGAAGTGTTAGCCTAAAGTGTGCGTTTCAAGGTGTGGTAGCAAAAGTGGCCCGAGATATTGGTTTTTATGACAACTCCAATAGCTCTAATGCGCGTTTTCTAATATCAATATAATTTCGTCTAATATCCTTTTATATCAGTTGTTTTTATTATTATAGTATATATGTACACATCGTAGATATTAACTATCCGTGGTGGATACGTCGCACTTGAAGAAGTAATTTTGATATCATTGTGTGTGTATGCGGAGAATGTTATCGCGCAAATGTCTCGTCGGAGCAGAACACGCTCATGCATAATTTATTACCAAACGCGCGGTTTATCACGAATAAACGCGCTCGTTACAAAAGACGAGACGCTGACTAGATTGAGTTTACAACAATTGATATACAGCGGTTTTATATTCAATACAACGATTTGTGTCCGCAATTAGAGGTCTGCGGCAAACAGAGAGTGCGAGCTGTGAGGTTTTACTTTCCGAAAAAGATGAGAGAAGATGGTGCGTATAGAAAAGAGTCGTGACGAAATGTAAAAAAAAGTTTGTGAAAGAAGAAGAGCTCGCGATAGGAAAGTAGAAACAGACGAAAGTGCGAAACGTTCGAGAAAGAGAGAGTTACGGCTAAGATCTCGTGAAAGTTACTTAGAATTACAAACTTGGCAACGTATGTCAAAATCACGATTATTGGGAGTGATTTCGAAGTATTTCTATGTTTAGCAATTATTATTTCAAGCGGCACTTATTTTGAGATGTAGCCTAGCTAAATGTGATGTGCAGTGACGTTCGGAAAGATACATCAAATCAACGATCTGCGTGTGGATGACGGATCTGAGCTTAGATAGGGAAATGGTCTGGCTCAGGAACTGCTGATGGATCGAGATCAATATTGTGTGAAGGGAATGAGTCACGTGACAGACATCTTTCCCAACACCACTGCGATGTTCATTGAACCTTTAACATTTTGATGCTCGTTATTTATGTCGCTATATATGTGTAATATAATTTAAAAATGTCTTTTCGATTATTAATATAAAATGAATTGTCCGATTAATTTGGTTTCGCCTACGATAGATACGAATACTTAACGATATTACAATTACACGTATCGTACTTTTGCTATTAATTGAACGTGTGGTTCCAGTGCAGGTTTTGGCTTATTCTCACAATTATGTATTATTTAACATTTGAAACGAATCGATGATAATAATAATACTATTTATCTACGTACGCTTAAGATCGACAAGAAAGTCTTCATTGGCAATTGTGAAAGTTTTTATTTTTTTTAGTAATCAATGATCGCTAACGATAACGATACGCCGATGAGATGTTAACGCGAAGAAAGACTGTTATTTCGTGGATGTGACGTTGTTGTTAATTGCTGGTGGTATGTATGTGTGTGGACGGTCCTCATGTATTTTCATAGCGTTCTAAAGTCGCCACAAGCTAGATTTGCGTGGCGCCGATGTTGATCCTACAGCAAACAAACAGGAATTTTGTCAAAACAGAGAGAGAGAGAAAGAGAGAAAGAGAGAAAGAGAGAAAGAGAGAGAGAGAGAGAGAGAGAGAGAGAGAAACGATACTTTGAATTGAATTAATTAAGATTCAAGGATATATTGGACGAGACCTTGTTGTTTATCTGGCAAATAAAATTTTACACATATCATTGTAATATATTCATCTTTAGAATTTTAACTGACCAGCATGTGAAACAGCCATTTCTATCGGTAGGGATCCTCTTCGCTTGATGAACGTTTCGGGAACGGGATCGCGCTTTCCCATTTCCCGCTTCCACTTGAACCACGTACCGTTGTCGTTCCCATCGGTAGTCGATATTCCGATAAACATTTCCGGACCCCCGCTGCTTCGTCTTTTCAACACTTTTTTGCGATTTCGCGACTTGTTATTTACATTGTTTCGCGTGAACAGATCGCGGCGCAACTCAGATATGTCTGCCGGTACCGATCCCCGTCTCGGCGAGAGCATCCCAGAAAAGGTGTTGTCGAACAACCTGTTAATGCCATTGTTGTTGCCGCTACTAGTGTTATTGTTATTATTGTTATTATTATTTACTGAAAAGCTATGACGCTCGCCTGAAAAACAACACATTGAAATGTAAGAAAATTGGTAATCTGATTTTTTTTGAAAATAATTTTCTTATTTGAAATCTCGGCTTACTAGTTAAAGTAAGAACATTGCCCAGAAGATTTCCTAACGTAGTTTCTTGCGGAAGACTAGCTCTTCTTAAAGCTGCAAAATTATCTCCCCGAGAACCTAAGGTGAACCGGTTGCAGGATCCACCTAACATGTAAAAAACTAATAATTTACAATGCAAATAAATCTCGTACAAATGGAAATTTATAAATTGTTGATCGCTATATTCATCGATAAAAATATAATAATACGCACCTTGCTTGGCGATATCAACGGGTACAGATCCACGTCTACAAATATCAACTTTGGTAGATACAGACGCTGAAGTGTAGTCATCTAATCTCGATAGAAGACCAACCGGAGCTGATCCGCGTCTTCTTGCCCATCCCTATGAATTTCCCAACGAGTTAAACACACATACGCTTTTCAATAACGTAATATTAATCCAATGCAGCTGCAAAAAAACAAACTTTGCTTTTCAGGAATTGTAAAAGTTAAGTAATTTCTCAGTTACCTGACTGCTTCTACGAGACGTTAATACTTTAGCGAAGTCGTCGTTGCGAGGATCAACGTTCTCCTTCATCCGCGTGTCGAAATCCATCTTTGCTATTTTAGGATTCTTGTCCTTCAGGCAATCTAACTCTCGTTTAACACCGGCTTCGTTACTCGAATCACCGATAGTTCGTTTTAGTTCACTACCACTATCACTCGAGGAGGACGCGCTACGATTGGGTGGCGACGTATCGGGGGGACTACCGATAAAGAACACTTTGTGAGTGCTAAGCTCAGAGGTCACGGGTATCGTAGTGTACCGTCTACCTGTGTAGTCAGTCGTTACTGTTTTGCACTCTGTCGTGGGAGTTGAATATCTTCGCTCTTGTGCGGAACACATGTTACTAGTCGATAAAGTACATTGATCCGTCTGTTCGGACTGTTTGAACGTAGTGGTACTAGTTTGTGATTCCTCGATTGTCGATTTTACATCGCGACACTTAAGTTCGACATTGCGATCCGAATCCGACTTGTATTCCGCGAGAACCGTATCGGAAATGCGATTGCTCTTGTCACTGTGAGATCCTGTTAACGTAGCGTAAAACATCTGCATGGAATCGGAATCTTGAGCGGAGGAAGGTCGTTTGTGCCGATTGTGCTTGAAAAGCGTGTCGTCGGCGCGAACGGTTTGCATGGAAAAGCGACGATCCGAGCCGTGCTTCTGTTTAATCGTATCCGACAGAGTTGAGCCTCGTCTCTTCATAGGTAAATCCACCATCAGCAATTCCCTCGAGAGAATCTTCGGTGACGTCTTTTGATTGCACAAATCGGGATCACACTGGGACGACGAAGCCGACGAACATCGGTCGCTGGAGCACGATTTGTTTCTCGGGAGAATCGAGTAGTTGGAGGGAGCACTGTCGGTCTCCTTTAACATCTGCGTGTAACACTGCGACATTTCCGCGGTCGTTGACATGTATCTCGTTCTCACGGACGATTGTAGAGGAGGGAAGGTCTGCTGCCGCGTCAATTGTTTGCTCGGCACGCTTTGCACACTGATGTTGTCCGACTGCAAAACCGCGTTCAATCTCGTCGCTTCGCTGCTGCTGGTGATACTGGCTATAGTCGGCTCGGGCAGAAGATTTTCCGCACTGACCGGTCTCTCGGAAGTGCTGACATTCGGCGATTCCACCATGCTGTTTCTGGAGGACAGCAAAGACAACGAGCTTGGTTCTCGATGCTCGTCTTCTAGCTTCAACAAAGGATTTTTTATCTTCAGCTGCTCACTCGGCAGACTTTCTCTCCTGACAGACTGGCGCGAGGGTAAACTCAACGGTTTCGGAGCGCTCAGAGGTACGGAATGACGTCTGCCGACGCAATCTAGTCCCACTCGTCCGGGCAGTGTCGGCATGCGCGATGATTGCACGTAAGCCGCCGGTATTAGCAAATCGATGCTGCCCGAATCCTCATCGACGCCGGTTTCCTCGCCAGAACTGGCGATAGCTTCGGCCTCGTCCAGCTCGGAAATCTCGGTCTCCGTTTCCTCAGCCGCCTCCTGATTGATCAAAGTCTCCCATTTCTTCTGATTAGCCTTCAGGTATTCCATTAATGACGTACTCAGACCGTCACCGAGAAAACGATGCCATTCGACGTAGAGAGGAGTGACGACGTGTTTGAAAAAGCCAGCCTGGATTTTCGGGATGCTGGTGGTGTGTCGATCGCATAACGGCGTGACCGGAAGATTCAAACGACGCTCGTAATCGCCCTGTCTAAAGAACTCCTCGCAAACTTTGTAGGACCACTTCTTCGATATGTCCCAGGGTCTGCACGGATTCGAAATGTCAGCGCATTTTAGAGCGATCTGCAGAATGAAGTGGCGATCCTCCGCGCATGTCATTTTGAGCGAATCGTTGCTCAAATAATCCTGCGAATTGAAGAAATGCAAATTGTTACTTCGGATAAGAAAAACAAAAAAACTGACTTAATTTTAAGGCGTACCCTGAAACGTGTGAGAAACTCTTGCTGTCTCGTGATGTCTGTGGCCAAGATCAATGAGCTAATGTGCCGTTGAAGTTCCGGTCTCACGTGAGCGGGTAGTTGCGCTGAGACACCGCTCTCTAAGAGACATCCTATGGCTGATCTCCAGTGATGGTTTTCGAGAACAGAGGTATTCTGAAAATCCAATGCTCCAATTTAGACCGAGCTGGTCTACCAATTACGCGCAAAACGCGGTGAAAATCTTCATTTTGTTTTATTCGATAAGTTTCTCCACCTGATAAAGCGCGGCCAAGTGATTACTCGTCGCGACGAGAAACGGCTGATTCACACCCGGATGATCCAAATCGTGCGTTACAGCTGCTATCAAGGAAGCCATAATTTCTAAATTGGTCAGATGTTTTTTAATCTGCAAATTTACGATATAATTACGTTTATTTTTGTTTCGCTAAGGACATTTGTGATTAGGTACGTGTCAACTCTTGTATGTAAAAAGTTGTACCTTGTTTTCTTGGAGAAAACAATGCATTGCCTGTGTGACATCCGTAGCGTGTATACTGTTGTGGTAAGGATTTGTACTATGATAACCCTCCTCGATAAAAGCTACGAGCAAACAGTTGAACACTGAATTAACAAGATGTGACATTAAAAGATCAATGACTCTTTAAAATTTGCTTTGCGCGAACGTTGCTCTGAGTAGATTATATTTAAACTTTGTATATATATTTTTAGAATGTATTTTATATTTAAATATATTTTAAACGCTTACTGAATAGCTTCCACACTGTCACCACATCCAAGTTGAAGTGTTGCAAGAGTCCGTACCAGTGAAAAAGATGGACGCACAATACCGGCAAGGAACGACCTTGAGAATCGAACACGAATTTGATTAAGACTGATATAAAAATATATCATGTCTGTTGCAAATTCAAATATACTCACCACCCGTAAGTGTTTCGAGCGTGAAAGCGTTGAATCGCCAGTTTCCAGCTCTTTGCAACACGCACTGTAATAAACCGGACTTGACTGTGAAACGGGTTTTACTTATGTGAACAAACACAGACACGCAATTTAGAGAAAACTTTTTCGATTCTGATATTACCTGCACCAATCCGTGGAAGATGTCGTCCAAGATACCCCGCTCTTGATTCAACGATCTTGTGGTGAGTCTCTTACGTCGTCGTTTGTGCATCGTCAAAAATCGACCGGTGTGTCTGGTCCTGCATCGACCGACGTCTAGATTTTCCAGCAGGATTTGATCCGCGTCTGATAAACGTCTCGTCGCGGATTCATCACGGACTTGTGACAACGTCGCGGATGTTCCGGAATTATGAAATCCTCTGTCTGTTAACAAAAAATAAATAAACGGACGTCGTTATCTTATCTTATAAAAGATGAACTTTATTTTTCTCAAGTTTTATCTCATATCCAACACATTTATTAGAGAAATAATTATTAGATATGTAAACAGTAAATATGAAAACTCAATTTCTTTAGATTATTTTTTTTTTTTTTTAATGTGCTTTTAATTATTAGTTTCTTTACGTGTATAAAAATACTTTGTTACAATTATTTCTTAAACGTTCAGATTGGGACGTTAAATAAAAGAAAGTAACAAGTAGAAGATTCGATAATGACAAAGAAAAACATAGTCGCGTTTCTCCCGTCCTTGTCTTACTCGTATTGCGTGCGAGAGAGATGCAGCGTGTATGTATTACGCGTTGCACACGCATGCATTACGCGCGTCCATTACGCGAGAAACACAGAAGTGCGAAATTACACCGATGTACACCGATTAGTATATTAATAAATTCATCTTTGTGATCAACACACGGTTTGCGAAGCAGCACGGCGCGCAATTTTATCGAGTTTTTTTTTTCTACTTCTTTGCGCGCCTGTACACACAAAACGAGTTAAAACTATACACTTAATTATACGAGGTAAACTATACGGTTAATTACGTAATCATTATTGCACTTCGGTACATTAGTTACGTAATTTACTTTTAATTATACTTTTGCTTAAGGAGAGCGTAAAGGCGATACGTGTGTGAACTGGTTCGCTGCGATATTGTTCGCCTCAAATAATATCGCAAACCGGAGACACAATTTATTCGTGAACCACACGTAAGGGGAAGGGGGCTACATGCCGCGAGTAATATTCAAAGCCAAAGGCAATTTGTTGTTGAGTTGCATGAAATAATTCTGTAAGCCAGAAGCGATCTATTCGCGTGCTGGGTACTATAAATAATATTCAAAGCTAGAGGCAATTTTATTCGCGAGCTGTTTACTTTCAATAATATTTTACTATCGAGAAGTAATTTTTATTTGCGTGCGAGCTGATTGAATTTTTATTTATTAACATACGGAGACGCGCGCGCGAAATGGTCGTTGAAAATAATATTTAAAGCCAGTTCACACGTAAAAAACCCGAAACGTTACGTACAGAGAATAAAGAACGTTTTTGCCAACGAAAAAATACAACAGCTGTCATTGCGCTGGATGCGAATCAAAAGGACCGCATCATTGTTAGGTCGCTCTCTCGAGGGCAACAAGAGGAACAGAATCCAGACTAGAAAGACACAAGAAGACGTACGAGAATTCGGGACAATTGCTTGCATCTTTGTGACAAAGATGATCTCAAATCAAGTGTACACGTGAAAACAAGGTCAACGAGAGCCGAGCTAGGTCTCTGGTTTTTATGTTGGAAAAAAAAAAAAAAAAAAAAATTTCTTCTTATGTTATATTGCATTATTAATGTCATCTTTTTTATTTTGCACATTGAGAAGAACCGAGAATACGAGCCAGAATGTATGACAATGAAGTAATTAATAATATAAGAAGAAAAGTTTTTTTTTAACCAACCTCGTTCGGTTCTCATTGGCCTTGTTTTCACGTGCACACCTGATGTAATATCTGAGAGCCCTATTTTCCTTCATTGTAAAAATGAACGTTCGCGCGTACGTACATAAGAAAAATTAAAAGAAACGATTAAATCTATCCTCATGCGCCGAAGGCATAACTTATTTTGTCGACCCACTTCCGGAGCGTATATTCTGTCATACAATTGTCGTTCCGTTTGCAGCGATAAAAAGCTCCCAGTGAAGCGTCCCAGTTACAATATAAAAGTTATTTTTGTTTTAAATTAAATTAAAACGCAATTAGTTTATTAAATATACTTTTTGAAGAATATTACATTTGAGCGCAATGCAAACGCGCGCGCACACAGCATGTGCCGCGCACAACTTTGACGATCTCCAGTTGAATTAAAACTAAACTCAAAAATAAAGTGGGATCTGACTTTTTCTCTCGCTCCTTTTTTCGTTTTTTTTTCTCCCTCTCTCTTCTTCTTTCTCCAACTCGTTACATGTACGCGCTACATATTGCGTACAATTTTAAAAATAATGTAAATTTAACTCCATTTTAAGCTTCATTAACATCAAAGATACCTACGGAGAGTTACGCTAATGTCTATATTGCCGTGTTTCAGGTCGGCCGACCGTCGGCAGCCTGGATGAGAGAAGAATGCGTCGAATGCAGAGAAAAATGCTCCGCGTGTCAACGTCAGTGCGCATGCACCGGGTGTACACGATATTTGCCTATTTGTTGCAGTGATTTTCGTTGAAAATTTACATATTCATTGGTCCGATAACCGACCACTTTCGTCTTCGAGTCTCCCCTTATTCTTCTCGTCTGATATTTTGTCCGATCGGCTTCGTTTGAATCCAATTGCTCGTCGCAAAAGAACCTCCCGTGCGCCTCTATTGCTAATTTGAACATCATTATACTACGCGGTGTCCCCGATATGTATTGACGTGACGCGAGGAGAATTACTCACCAGAGATACGTACGAACACCGCGTTCTGCTCCTCGCTGTACACTGTTATCTCGGCAATCCGTCTCTGGAACAACGATAAGCGGAAAGATTAACTTTTGCTTAGAGCACATATGTATTTTACTAAATGCAAATAGCAATAGAACAATATACATAGTTACGGTTTTTGTTCTTCACGTGAGAGATAAATTGCAGGTGAATATTATAATTTGTTATTATCGTAAAGGAAATGTTATTCTTTTTTTTTTTTTTTTTTTTTTTTTTAAGAGAAGACGTACGGGAAGTTAATTTTCCCTCGGAGAGCGATATTTTCAAGGTAATGTGTTTTCAAGGTGGCGCTAAAACCATCTTAATAAAGATTGCTTTAGTCGTTGAAGAATCGTTTTAAAACGCACTCTTCGAAGAAGTGAATTTTGTAAAGAAGTGAATTTTGTAAAGAAAAAAGAAAATAAATAAATAAATAAATAATAATGTGCGCGTGCGTAATTTTTGTTTTTTATGATATGATACATCAGTTTTCACAAAGACTTTGCTCGTAAACGTCTTAATTAAAGCTTTTGGTGCGTTGCACGCTTGAGAAATAAAATTTCTATAAATAGCAATCAACAAAACAAAGTAATAGCGGAATGTCTTATGCATCGTTTTTATAGTTTTTTTTTTTTTTTTCACATATACATATTTACATTTTGCACGTGTACATTTCCTGAGCAAACACAGACAGATTGAGAGAAACTCATTTTATAAAGCTTTTGAGAAACGCACCGACATTGTGGAAATGCGAAATTTACGCATGAAAATGTACAGTAGCAGATATAATGCCGCGCATTATCCTCTTCGACGTCGTAACTCAAGCCTTGTTTACGTCTGCGAGTAGTTTCCGAGATTATTGTGGTAGACTTATCCGCCTTCTGTGTGTGTGTGTGTGTCTGTCTGTCTGTTCCACTTCACGCTTTGGGTCCGACTTGGGCCTCTTTCATCTAATAGCGCTAGCGTAATGTTTATTAATGTTTATCAACTTGTGTACGTTATTTATTATTTTTTTCTAATACAATTTTAATGTAACTTTATATTAAATCGATATTTCGTATTTATTAAGTGCAAGTTTCAGCGCTCAATATTTTTTATTACAATTGGAAAAAAAAAACTAAATGTTAGAATAGTTAAATTTACTTTATACCTCGTGTTTATCTTCGACATATATATTTAGCAGAAACGGCCAAATTTTTTAGATTAAAATTATATATGATTTACACATTTTTTTACGTATTTTTATTTAGTTTCATATTTTCCAGATACGGTCTATAAAATATACATCGATATTTGCAAATCTTGTAAAAAAAAAAATACAAATATTTGAACGTACATCAGCGGAGATTTTTAAAGGTCGAGTGATAAAATCACCGAGATATTACAATAAGGATGTAGTAACATCTTCCGAAGGAAGAGGGCGTAACTTCTCTTCTTCTTTTATATTGTTTTTTCTTTCACTTACGTCTTCTGTATGAAAGTTACTAGTTGGTAACTTGTCCAATTGGAAGAGAACGCGCAGAGAAGGCACGTGGAAATGAGAACTCCGCCCTCTTTCTCTCCAGAAGACGCTACTCAATTACCGTTTCCTAGTGTGCACGAATTGTCAAGAAAGTTCTTTTAAATGGAAGTGCTCTTAGAACATCTGATATATGTACATAGTTCGAAGTCTACTCGAAGCAATAGATTTCTCGCGTCGTGAAATCAAAGTGCAATTATATCAAAATAGATACAAAATAAAGCAGAATCAGATAAATTTTTTTACAAATTAAACTCTCCACGCAAGTTCGAAATTGATTTCTAATCTCGGCCAATTCCGAAATTTCCTTGCTTTTCAAAAAAATGACGTTCTTTAAATTAAACACGTGTCTTCGTAACATCAGAAGTAAATTCCAATCGTTCTTCGTGTGACAAGTTTGAAACTCCGCGAGACAAGGAAGTGGCAGTTCGTGTGACTTTTATGTAAACAAGGTAATTAAAACTTGTTAAGAACAATATCGTGTTCCGCAATATTCGTTTCTCACCTCTTGTGGCTGAACAACGTTTTTCATTCTCTCCGCAATATTAGTCGCTTTGACAAACTCAATGTCCGCAGACTCCATCTGTGAGTGCCGTCTGCCTTGCACATCGGTGGCCAATTCCTGATAGCAGGATTCCCCGGAGCCGCGCCGACTGCCTGCGATGCACATAGCCCGACGGAACAAACTGGCGACAACGGCACACAGACCGCACTGCATACCAGTGGCGCTGCCTCGGCTAGAAAGCGACCCGCCATTGGCCCGGCGGCGGGTCCGAGACCCGCGAAAATTGTTGTCACGTGCTTGGGCCGCCAGCTTCGCGTGTGTCAAACTGCCTGCTGCTCTACGCGCACGTTTCTCGCTACTTCGCCGAAGAAGTAAACTTGGTCTTCTTCTTGCGCGCCTCCTCTTCGCTTATTTTTTTCTCTCTTCTCTCACATCATTGCGTCCCCTCGATTTACATACATGTAGTTTTGCACTCCCGATATTCTCGTTGGCGCGGGCGCGCGCGCGCGTTTATTATTATTTTATTCCCGCACTCTTAGCGTTAACGCCGCGCCGGCATCGCATGTCAGCTGCACGACGGAAATGACGGAAAGATCAATGACTGAACAAGGAGAAGAAGTCGCGACCACAAATAGGAAGCGAGAAGAAACAGAGAGAAATAAAAAAATACGAAAGTAAACAACTTTTTGCGTTTGGTACACGCCAGAAGTTTTTCTCAAGAACAAAACGTCCCGGCCGGGCATTAAAAAAATAAACAATTACACGTAAGTTGGAAACTAATATCATTGAAAATACATCTAAACAATAAGTGAAAAAACAAAAAAAAATATTGTGATAAATTTTTGCACATCTCCAGCAATTGTTTCTTCAATAAATGTCCGGTCATTGGTACATTTATCCTGTGAGATGGAAAATATGGAGGAAGAATATTATCATCAAAAATGCAAATTGTCGCTTTTCGGCCTCTTACAACGAACGCGTGTTGGCAAACGACAGGTGACAAAATAAAATACGCCCGGTTCATTATTACGAAAAGACCCGTCGTCTCTCGATGCATCATATCGAATATTATTTTGCGCGGCGATGTCTCGTAACAATTTTCTAAAAATATTCCTCCTCTGCATTTTGCAAATATTTGGACGTCTCCTCTGATTTACTTCAATGCGATCCTTACATCTTAATATAATATCTGCTCTCGCACTCACTCCTGTCTAAATTTAGTAGCTTGACAAATCCGAACGAAACAATTTGCTCCTTTCGTGATAATAAAAAAAAAAAAAAAAAAACAATATATCAAGCGGAAAAATGTTGGTTTTTCATTAGCGACTGCTAATTTTGACGGACGAGTTTAGTTTTAATTGAAATATCTATGGGATCACGGCGCGCAAATGTTATTAATCGGAATATCAACGTTGAATATTAAAACGTTGATGGGAGAATATAATACTAGCGTGTTATTCACGCTATTTCTCTGAATAAATTACCGCCATATGAAAGTTGTGTATTTTATCGATGTGTCCATTCTTTTCTATCTTATCGTAATCGTAGAAACGATACCATATCGCGATTATTATTTTATTATAAATACATTTCACCATACAGAAGATGTCATCCGTTTGTGACGCATTTTGTATCACGCTGATGATGACAAAACGGGAACGGGGGGGGGGGATGTGGGGGAAAAGGGATGACTTGTAATATTCCGACTATTGTGTGTTTTGATGCGGATACTTCATTAATTGTCGTGCGAGAACAACAGACCAAATATCCGCGGATACAAGTGACGAGACAACATTGAGAAGCAATTCCGGTAATCTCTCATGTCATATATACAAAATTACGTCATAGTATTTAAGAGAACAGGTCGATATTTCGGAGGGGGTAGGGGGACACTTCTTCGGGGTGCCGTGTACCTGAGCGCGCAAAATCGCTTGGAATGATTTGTGATTCGTGACAGTTTTGAACGCTTGTATTTTCAAAAAAAAAAAAC